ACAAAAGTCTTTAGAAATTATAATACAAAGCTAAGAACCTTGTTTCTAGAGGTGCTTTCCAGTTCTCTCTTTCCCCACAATGTTTAGAGCACTATACAAAAATTCTCTCTCTCTCTCTCTCTCTCACACACACACACACACACACACACACACACACACACAAAGCAGAACCTAGATCATTCTTATTCTGAGGTTTGCAGCCTGCTTAATTTGCAGTGAGTTGCCACCACTCAGCTGTTTGCTATGGCTTTTACTTCAGAGAGTGCTGCCTCCTCGCTAAGCTGGATCTTATCAATGGTCAGATGTGCAAAATGTATTCAGGTGAGATCTGAATGCTTAGGATTTGGCAACAGCAGCCAGCTTAGACCTAAAGAAGACTGCTTCTTCTGACTAGTATCCATGAATGGCAACTAGCAAACTGTGCAGAGGAATGTGCTGAGAGAGGAAAAATAATAATGGAAATAATGTTAAAAAAAAAAAACAGAGACAAGAATTGCTGGCCCTATTAACTGGAAGATTAGTTATGTATGTTCAAAGAGGAAAGAGGGGAGAATGGGAAAAAGTTTGTAGGAGATGGGAAGGAAGGAAGAAAGTCTATAAAGGTATTTTTTTCTAAAATCCACTGAAAGACAGAATGTTAAAGGTAGGAGTTGCCAGCATTAAGGCTGTATGTGTATATAAAATTGCATAATGATAGATAAGGATCTGTTCAAATGGTGGTTTTGCAATTTTCACAGAAACCATGAAAAATGACTGTTTCCGCAAACACCATGAAAAATGGCAGTTTCTGTGATTTTGTGCAGAATCACCAGAAAAAACAACTTAGTAAAAATAAAATGCTAGCTCCCCAGTGGGAGCCAGTGGCTGCTGTGGCCTGGCCTCACAGGCTGCCAGGGGTGGGGAAGCCGTTGGCACAAAGGGGAACAGCCAAGATGCTGGTCGTTCCCTCTGCCACTGACTTGCCAAGAGGGCTGCCTTTCATGTAGCCCTGCTCCCTCCCCACCAAACAGTGGTGAGGGGCAGAGCTGCACAAATGGCAGCCCTCTCAGTCAATCAGCAGGGCCCCCTTGGCTAATCAGTGGCAGCAGGGGGGGGTGGTCACCGTGAAAAGACTACAAAAATGGCACTGGGCACTGTGAGTGTCCCACAATTTTTCCTTCACCTTAGTGCACTTTAAGTAGATCCCTAGCTATAGACTTTAGTTATAAATTACAATCCTAGAAAAGAGATCAACAGAACACTTTTTCACTAATTAAAAAAGCACAGGCTAGAAGCTAAACAACAAGCAAAGTCCTATACAGGATTAACTAAATTGATTAACTTAGAAAGGACCACACACACGATTACTTTAGTCTCCTTTCCAGGAAGTAAAATCACCTCTGGCCCTAGAATTAATAAAATATGTTTTGCATATTAAAGCCAAATATCCAAATCCACCCTGCAAGAAAATACTTCTCCTAATACTTGGCCGTGTTTATGTAAGAGTAGAGATATCATATTTACTCGAATACAAGATGGTCCTGAGTTTAAGATGACCCCCCCCAATAATTAGATTCTATACAAGTAAAATTTATAAATTTATTATAATTTTCCATGTATGGAATCTAAGTATTGGAGGATCATCTTATATTTTTCCCTCCCACCCACTACTGCAAGTGGTGGGGGGAGAGGTGATGATGGGGTAGTAAAGGAGAAGCCAGTAGGGAGACAGACAGTGGTGAAGTCAGTAGGTGGGGGCACGTGGTAGGGCAGGTGGTGGCAGGCAGTAATTGGGCAGGCAGTGGGGGACAGACAGTAGGCAGGTAGTGGGAGGCAGTAAGGAGAAAAGTAGTGAAGGGAGCAATGGGGGACAGGCAGTAGCAGGGTAGGTAGTAGGGGGCAGGCAGTGTAGAAGTGGAGGGACAGGCAGTGAGAGAGAGAGGCAGCTTGTCCCCTGCTGCATGTCCTCCTTCCACTTACCCCACATTGTGCCAGATCCCCATCCCCCCATCTTCCCCCCTCCACACAGCTTCTGTCCCCTGCATCTCTTTCCTTGTCCCCCCAACCCTCCTTCCTCCTGCCCCCGCAAAGTCTCTCCCCCATACCAGCCCCTTACCTTTGCTCCATGTTGGCAGGTTCCATCCCTGCTGCCACCTAAGGCACAAAGCATGGCGCCAGCCCAGCCCTGTAGTAGCAGGGGAGAAGTGCAGCAGAGGTGGAGAAACAGCACGGGGATGGAGAATCGGGGCTGTGGGGGGAAGTGGAGGGAGTGCAGAGGCAGCAGATGGCTGCCTGCTCCCTGCCGCCTCATACTACATTGTAATGGGAGGGGCTCTTTTCCCCAAATTAAATTGAGGGTAAAACCTCATATTCTAATCAAGTAAATATGGCATTATCAGAATACACAGTAAACTCACACATCTTAACTAGAGACTCACAGCATGATGCTGTTAATAAGGAAAGCTCTTTTTAGTAGCCTGCATAGATGTACAGAGAAGCTACTCTATTTAATAAAGCAAATACAAAATAAATAGCAAATACATAAACCCTTTTAAATTAGAGCCTTAACTGAGAAAAAAACCCTTTAAATCTTTGCTTATTTTATAGTAGAATTGAAGCAGCTTCTTCAGCACTGCTTTTTCTAAAACACAGAGCTACAGAACATTCCTAACTATAGGAAAAGCACATTGACATTTGAAAACTGAATGCTTAAAATTGTCACTTAAATCTATATTTATGGTCAAGTTCTAACTATGTCCAGTAGGGTCCTTTGAAAGTAGGGCTCTCCAACTCCAGAAATAAATTAAAGAAAAAGGGGTACCTAAAAAAAATATGTGAGAGTATGAGTTCTCCATCACAAGACTGGTGCTAAAAGAAGTAAATGGTAACATACAATGGTCTAAATTGGGAAGTACTGCCCATAATTAGGGGCAACATAGAAGCACATTGTGCCAGAAGGAACACTGACAAGCACACAGGAAATGGGAGGTATAATGTCTCCTGGGGCTCCTTGTCATGCAGGAACACTATGCAGGTACTGGCTCACACTGCAAGGGGGGCTCTGCATGAGCCCCTGAACCTCCCCCCCACTGCCCCCTCATGGGTGCCCCGTACAGGCCAGCTCCCGCCCCTTAAGAAAAAAAAAACCTGAAGAAACCCAGGGACTCATCGCTCCTGCTGGCAGTGGGGAGGGGTGATCCTCGCTGACCTGTGCCACGTGGCGGCTCTGCACGAGCCCCACAAAGCCCCAAGGCTGCACCAGGAGTGGAGAGTCCCAGGGCTTTTCTTGGCTTTTTTTTGTCTTAAAGGGCCAGAGCCTCAGTAGGGCAGTTCTTCTTCTTACACTATAAATCACGACAATGGATAAATAAGATGAATTTAGTCCACATACCATCTTCTAGACTAAATATTAAATTATTCAGCAAGGAGTAGAACTAAGCAGACTGTCTATTGATACACATTTACCTGGCAAATATTTTTCTAACCTCGTTTGCCCAAAAGCAAGAAAAAACCTGTGACCTGTCCCTTTATCAGCCATTTTTCTTAGGGAAGCATTCACTACACTGACTCCAGCCTGAACATAATCATATTTATTTGCTTACAATAACATTCATGAAAGTCTGCTAAATGTAAACACACATACTTCTGTCTGAGACCTGGAGTGATACAGGATGCATATACTGCAAGTAATCCCACACATATTTTGCCAGTGTGACATCACACTAACATCACCAATGTAAGCAAATTTTCTCTTGATCTTGAAACTTTCTTACCAATACATCTGTGATATCATTAGAGCTTATAGTCCTGTTTGCAATGACCTAATTCTTGACATCACACTGCACCCAACAAGCCAAGCACTAAGCACAGGAAAACAGTCACCTACTGCTTGTTGGACTACAGGTATAGGTGGTGGGGAAGAAAGGACATATCAATAAAAATAAAGTTATACCGCTTCTCAGTGAAACAGGTTTAAGATTGTTGCCTGGACTAAAGTTGCATCTT